ACAGAACCTACTACAAGTGTCAATATATTAGACCTAGTATTAACAAATAAAGAAAATATTATCAGAGATATCACAGTAGGGGAAGAACTAGGAAACAGTGATCACAGAGAAATCGGGTTCACCCTAAATTGGGAAACGAAAAACAATGACAATATGGTCAGAGTCCCAAACTTTCGGTTGGCGGATTATCAGGGGTTAAGAAGGTACCTAGGTGAGGTCACCTGGGAACAGTCAGGTCAGTCCCCAGTAGGAAGGGGTGAGGTCACAGTTGACACAACAATTGATCATGACTATAATATATTCACTAGTATACTACATGAAGCACAAGAACAAAATATATCATACAGAAAAATTAGGTCAAATAAGACTGAGCCAAGGTGGATGACCAGAAAACTTAAACATGTCATAGGAATAAAGGCTTCGGAGAAGTCTTATACCATGGCTTACAGACTTCCTCAGTGACCGACGCCAAGCTGTACACTTCCGAGGGGCTGTCTCCACCTTTCAGTCACTCACCTGTGGCGTCCCCCAAGGCACCAAGATGGGACCACTCTGCTTCCTTATGCTCATCAATGATGCCCTAAGAGAAACCCCCGCTCGCTGGAAATATGTCGACGACTCCACCATTGGGATCAGCGTCAACAATTCTGCTCCCGACTATATCGCCCTTCAGGATTTATTGAACAGTCTCCAAAACTGGGCCACCAACAACCATGTCACCATCAACCATACTAAGACCATGGTTATGCACATCAACCTCTCCTCCGACATTGTCCCACCTCCTTCCATTACTTTAGGTTCGAACACACTCCAGGTTGTAGATTCCACGAAGCTCCTCGGCGTCACCATAGACAACAAACTAAATTGGAAACCACACGTCAGTGAAGTTGTCAAATCCTCCAGTTTCCGTCTCCACCTCCTCCGCCGACTCAAGTCCCTCGGAGTTCCTGCACCCGAGCTCCTCAGTGTTTACACAACATTCATACTTCCCAAGCTCACCTATGCCTCCCCCACCTGGTCCTCCTCCCTAAATGCCACACAACGTAAACACCTAGAAAAAGTGCAAAAGAGGGCATGCAAGATTATTCTCTCCCCTTCCTACTCCACATATCAAGAAGCACTCAACACACTGACCCTTTCGACTCTCACTGACCATCACCACGACCTCATCTGCAAATTTGGTAAGAAGCTTCTCCACCATCCTCGACACCGGCTCCTACTACTGCCTGAGATCCCTAGCCCGAGAATTGCTGTTCGACACCACAACCGCATCCAGCCCATACGTGCACGAACTGATCGCTATAAGAACAGTCCAGTCCCAACCATTGTAAAAATTATGAATAACTTGTAATAAACCAGTGTATTCACTCCCAGTAAATACTACTTCTTGCACTGTCACTATGTTGAAATGCACTGTAGTTTGAGCTTTTCCCCATCTAGTTATTATATATCTTATTTGTATCACTTGTATGCATTTGTTACTTGTATATTATTTGTAATTCGAAACCCATTCCCCAAATATGTAACTGTATATTTTCAGCCTTCTGGCTGCCAAGCTCTTTCAATGAACCGTTAATTATTATTATTATTATTATTAAGAAAGAATTTATAAGAAATTAAAGGGAGGGGAGGAGCAGCTCAGAAATAGGTATAATGAACTATCTAGGAATGTTAAGAAAAATGTAAGGAAAGTAAAGCGAGACTATGAAATCAGAATAGCAAGAGAATCTAAGGCGAAAAATCCCAAGGGATTTTTCCAGGTATATAGAACAAAGGTCAAGGACAATGTTGGGCCTTTAAAGTCAGGGAGGGGGGAAGTGATCAATGGCAGTGAGGAAATAAGAAAGCATTGAACAGCTACTTATCAGTTTTCACAAAAGAAATTCGCGAGGAAATTACAGAGGTGGAACTGATATTTAGGGGAAAGGAAGAAGAGAAATTAAAGAATATCCCTATCAGAAAAGAGGATGTTCTTAAGAAGATAAATAAACTAAAGAAGACAAAATCCCCAGGGCCGGATGAAATTTTCCCTCGAGTCTTGAAAGAGTGTAAGGAACAGATTAGCGGACCCCTCGTAAATTTATTTACAAAATCATCAGACACGGGAGTTGTGCCAGACTTGTGGAAACAGGCAAATGTAGTACCCATATTCAAAAAGGGAGACAGAGCATCAGCGTCAAATTACCGGCCGATTAATTTGACGTCAGTAGTGGGGAAATTTCTTGAATCAATTATAGCAGATAGCATCCGATCGCATTTAGAGAAAAGCAAATTAATCTACGACTCTCAACATGGGTTTACAAAGGGAAAATCTTGTCTAACAAATCTACTGACGTTTTTTAGGAAAGTCTTCGAGGTAGTAGATAATGACGACAATCACGATGTTATTTACTTAGACTTTAGCAAAGCATTTGACAGAGTACTGCATCAGAGGCTTCTGAGAAAAGTTAAGGCTCATGGTATCGATTGGAAAGTTTTAAATGGATAAAATCATGGCTCACTGATAGAACGCAGAGGGTCAGCGTAGATGGTGTTAAATCTGATTGGGGCTGTGTAACCAGTGGGGTTCCCCAGGCGTCAGTACTGGGCCCACTCTTGTTCATAATCTACATAAACGATCTAGATACTGGGATCAGCAGTGACATAAGCAAGTTTGCGGATGACACCGAAATAGGGCGGCAGATTCGTTCAGGGCAGGATGCAAATGCACTACAGGAGGATTTAAATAAACTGCAGGGGTGGTCTGAGAAATGGCAAATGAAATTCAACACCAGCAAGTGCAGCGTACTTAATATTGGAAGAACAAATACTGTCAATGTATACAGCCTTAACAGCATCAACCTAGAGAAGTCGACTTGTGAAAGAGACTTAGGGGTACTTGTAAGCCCGGACCTATGGCCAAGAAAACAGTGCGTTAATGTTCGAAATAAGGCAAACAGAGTATTGGGTTTTATATCTAGAAGTGTAAGTAATAAGAATGCAGAGGTCTTACTGCAACTATATCTTGCGCTAGTCAGGCCGCACCCCGATTATGCGGTTCAGTTCTGGTGCCCTTATTATAGAATGGATATCAATTCACTGGAGTCGGTGCAGCGTAGAATGACGAAAATGATTCCGGGACTTAGAAACCTTCCATATCAAGATAGGTTAAAGAAACTAAACTTGCATCCCCTAGAAAGACGAAGAGTGCGGGGAGATATGATAGAAGTATTTAAGTGGGTGAAACGAATCAATTAAGGGGATATAGATAAAGTTCTTATAATATCCGAGCAGGATAGGACTCGAAACAACGGATTTAAGTTGGTTAAGTTTAGGTTTAGGAGGGAGATAGGAAGGAACTGGTTCACAAATAAGGTGGTGGACGAGTGGAACAAGCTTAGCAACTTTGTAGTAAGTGCTGGAACGCTGGAAAGTTTCAAAAGGAGGATAGATAGATTCATGGATGATAGAGAGTGGTAGTAACTCTGGACTGGAGCTGCCATGCACAGGCCAACCGGCCTATTGCAGACGCCTTATTTTCTTATGTTCTTGTGTTCTTATTCCATTCCGGCTCGAGTCACGTACCATCGGGAAGAACAGTGACCTGACGAGCGGCGGCTGGGCTTTTCCATCGCTCTCTTTTTTTTTTTTTCGTTTAACATCCCCTGGATGCAACTAAGTGAACTCTACCTTGTGGGTGTAAATTTGCCTGGTTACGGGCTACTGTAATGTGTTGGTTGTAATATTGAGTAACTCGAGTAACCACTAAAGTAACTATTGCCTTAAAAGAGTAACTGTGCTGACCATTATTGAATAGCTTCCATTTAATGAACTGTTGGTATATGTATGGTGTATGGTGTCGTGGTGTATCGTCAATGGCCCAACGTGATTGATCATAAACTCTGGACGTTGGGGTGCTAAGGGCAAATTTGGTGCTATGCATGTGGTGCTAATTACTTTAATGTTACAGAAGTAAGGTGTTCACATTCTGGTTACTGTTGCTCTGCACGCTTTTATGGATATGGTGGAGGAAGCGCCCATGACTTATGGGTACAGGAGTGCGAGCAAATTAAGTAGAGCAAGCGAGTGAGCAATACCCCTGAGAAGTCATGATTGATTTCTTGTCGGCTGCAACACTAGTCCGCATATAATTTCATATTCTATGGTGACATCACGCAATAAATTTCTATGACTATCTTGTTGAGGGAATGCTGAGGCACGGACCCACTAGTGGTTACTATTAAAGGGAGAAGAGCTAGGATTAACTATGAAGCATGGTCGGGGGTGGGGGGGGTGGGGGGGGTGAGGTCATCTCACCACTTGTGTCGGACGCTAGGTGGATAATATGCCATCATACTGTATGGTGTGTAGGAAGACGTGCCCGAGTTCTCGATAATTATTGGGTCTTGTGAGCTCACATTGGGACTTAGGCGAATATTTTTCTAGTAATGTAAAAGTGCTGATCCAAATGTTATGATACATTTACGTGTGCCTCTCATTACCCCCAATCTCAGAAACACCAGTCAAGGTCACGGAAATTATTGAATAAGTTATCCTTATTTTGTTTGTGCTAAATCGTATTCTGATGGGCCCTTCCTCTGCATTAAACAGCTCACCAACGAAGGTGACATCCTTAATAACTCATATCATTGTATCATAGCTGGATGATCGTCATACTCGATTCCGAGTGATAGCAAAGTAATAGAGGTAGATGTAGTATAGTGTGTGTGTGAGTCCAGGAGAAAGACGTCAGATACATGTGTCTTTTCTGTCGTGGAGAAAGGTCTAAAGTGTATGTATACTTGTGTCCTAGATGAAACCGTCAGGTATGTCCTAATGGAATACTCAATGAGGCATCTTAAGAAGCAGTTTCATCATGCGTTTGCGAAGTCATTTGGTAAGTACATTTATCGGTTATATCGTTTACAAAAACTAGGTACCATTAGATAGAGTGGGGATACACGCTTAGTATCTTTTATAAACAACCACAATTGACAAAAAGGTACACAGAACACACTCACCTGCCAATATGGCCATATATTGTAGGTCGAGATAGTAGAAGACGAGGCAGAATAAGATACAAACACCCGTAACGCCATAAGTGATTCCCCACGCTGAACTTTCCTGAAAGATACAAAAGTATATGTCGACGTGATGAAGATGTCAACATCTTGAGTAGCCTCTGAGGAACTGCTGACGATTCTTTATGTTAAAACTCCTCTGAGACCTTCCAATAAAAACCTTTACGTCCTTTATCCTGCCCACACTGGAGTACGTGAGTGACTTGTAACCTATTTCCTTCACCAAGCTGTGAGTGACGTATGACACTCTTCCATCACTAAGTACGTGAGTGACGTGTGACACTCTTCCCTCACTACGTACGTGAGTGACGTGTGACACATCTCCGTTACTAAGTACATGAGTGACGTGTGACACATCTCCATCACCAAGTACACAACACATCCACTTGTACACATAACTCTTTCTATTTTATGTTGTTGTTTCACCATCTTTACTCAGTAAACTAATACACATTTGATTATTAGACTTGGATCCTGTATTTTCAAATATTCTTTGTGGTAGTCATGCAGAGATAAAGTAAAGGACAGCTGGAACAAGAACAAAACAGAGGAATATATTAGAAATGTGGATAGAGAATCAGCAGTGAGGACGTTCCCCAGAAGAAAAGATGAGAAATGTGTTAAAAAGAGTGACAGTGAAAGTGTAACAGGTTATGACAACCAATGCTGGGTGAGTAGAAAGGAGTATCACAAAGCCAAACATAGAAAAACTTGAATAAAAATTAATGTAATTATAAAGATATTATAGAAAAAATAAGACATATAAGGGTGAATTTCAAAGAGTTAAAGAGGAAGAGAAATGTAAAATTAAGAAAGGTTGAAAGAACTCAAAACCAAAGACCCAAGAGTGTATTGGCAAACTCTACAGCGTGTTAAAAAAAGGATATTACGAAAATGATAAACGAAATCTTGGCTCATTTCAAAGGACTGGTTGAGAAAGGAGATTATGTAGATGAATTCAGGTTGGATATTGTCACAGATGTGAGTGTGGACAATATATTAACTGCTAACATTACAGAAGATGAAATAAGGAAATGCATAGGCAATCTTAATAATAAATTCGGGGTATTGAGAAAATAATTAATGAATATTTAAAGAGTGCTAAGCAGCTGTTATGTTCACTATATACAACTCCCCAGAGGAGACCTGCTCTATTAACTTCATCTCCACACCTGCGATACATAGGTAGCAGCATAGCCGTCCTTCATTAGTCCATATAGCACGCGGACTTCAACATATAATCAACAACCTCACAGCGCCATAAGCACGGTGAACAGGCTATGTGTGAAATATAACAAAGTCTAGGAATGCTTTTAGTGTCCTTGTGGCACAGTAGAAGCAATCCCTGGGTACATGTATATATATATATATATATATATATATATATATATATATATATATATATATATATATATATATATATATATATATATATAATTTACTGAATTAATAATGATGCGATTCATGAAGTTATGGACTATTATTGAATTTAAATTATTAGATCGTTTAGCAAGAAGTCTGAATAATGTTACGGGCGTCCTAAGAGTTGGTTATGTCAGGCGGAAAATATATCACGCAGGCCCAAGCCAGCGCCTTGGGGAGACGCGACGCTGGCTAGGCCCAACCTCGAGAGCATCTACACAGACAAGACGTTCCGCGCAACGATCAGAAATAGTCACGTAGTTTGGTCACCCAGCGGCGCTATTGCAGCATAAACAAGTAAGTCTCATCTCGATTCACAGACAGGGCCAGATAGGCAGTGAGGCAAACCAGAGCCACATGGCGAGTTCATTTCAGGTTTCGCTCGAACCCACTTGATTGGAGTTGACCGAGCGATTGGAGTTGGACCGGAGTTACTGGAGTTGACCGAGTTGACTGGCGAGAGATTGACTGTCACATGATTGGAGGGTGGCGATTGTCGCTTATTGGACCGATTTCTGCGTGGTAGCTTCGTCACGTTTAGCGGGGCAAAGGATCTCTTTGTCCAGTTCTTACCACTCGGTTGCACAACCCACATGTCGAGCAGCTAGTGAAACCCTCTTGCTAGCGAGAAGCTAAAGTTTCTCTCAACTGTACAAGGTCTGATTGGCTCACTCCCTTCCTTTATGGACGCACTGGGGGTACACTGAGGCTATCTGAGTAAATAATGGTCACACACTGAGACCGTGAGTCTAGGTCTCTAGGAGATACCTAGAGGAACATTTTCCCTCCCTATGCAGGTTGTAGTTAACACCATTCCTCGAACTGATATTATCTTGACGTGTGTAGTTAAATAGTTTCTAAATAATTGTGATAATATTGTTTTGAATGTTTGTGCCATTAAGTGGAACCAGGAGTGATACTGTGATTTGATTCTTTAATGCATCTAATTGTTCTTCATAATTCTGATCTCAGGTATAACCTTGTTCCCCAAGGTAGTGGTTAGGTTGGGTTAGGAAGTGTACATCTGTTGGGGTTGCTATAATTTTGTTGAGTGCCCTTAAAGGCCTATTCATTGTAGAGTATTTAATTTCTTAAAATTTTATTACCATTTCCTCAGTGACTGATATTATTTTGCTGAAAGCCCTTAAAGGCCTATTCATTTGGAGTATTTAATTTCTTATTTTTATTACCATTCCTCAGTGACTGATATTATTTTGTTGAAAACCCATAAGGCCTATTCATTGTGGAGTATTTAATTTCTTATTTTTTGTACCATTTCCTAGTGACTGATATTATTTTGTGAAAGCCTTAAGGCCTGTTCATGTGTGCAAGCAACATTTCTTAATACTTCAAATTTATTGTTGCCTGAGTTTCTAATTATTTTATATCATGTATAACTTTTATTCCCCGAGTAGTGTTTTTTAAGTTAAGAAAAGCGCATTTGTGACCATTATTTGATTGTGTTTGTGTTTGTTGGAGAATATAAGTGTCTAAATTTTCAGTGTGTCTCATATCACAGGCGCTATCCTTCCAGTCACGGACAATTTTGTGTAGTAGATTTATTCTTGCGTTCGTTTCAAAGAGGCTCACTACCATCTATAATTTTAATAAACCCCAAGTCAAGTGAGAATTAAGTCGAGTCCCACCAAATATGCTGTATTATATATATATATATATATATATATATATATATATATATATATATATATATATATATATATATATATATATATATATATATATATATATATATATATATATATATATATATATATATATATATTTTTTTTTTTTTTT